CTAGGAAAAGAATCTTGACAATCTTGGAAAGTTTGACTAGTCTTCTCTCAAAACTTGGGCAGAAAGCAACTCTTGTTGTGGCTGATTCTTGGACTCTTCTTGACCTTTTTTGCACGAAATTGGACCTTAAAATTCCTCATCTTGGGCTTGAATTTGGGCCACCAAATAATTGTAGCATTTGGACAATTCCTCTCCCTTGGGCTTGAGCTCTTCTTCCCCAATAAGAAACCTTTGGATCAGCGATTGAAGCCCATTGAGCTTATCATTGAACTCCTTGGTTTGAGATCTTGTTATGGGCCTCCTTGGAGTTTCTAAAGCGTCATCCTTGTCCTTCAATGGAGTAGAGCTTCCTTGGATGCTATCACTTGGCCCATATATATATTAAAATAAGTAGTAGGGGCTTGTCAGTTTTTAATACTTAATTATTAAGAAAAGAAGAGGGAGGCAGAACCGTTACGGACGAATTATGAAGAAAGCTTCAAACTTCCGGCAGGTAAACAAACCAAAGTACATCTAGTCTTACACTTTTTTATATAGTTAGCTATATATACGTATATGTATATAGAATAAAGGGCATCTTATCAATATTGGGTTTAGAAGTTATTGTCTTTCTATTAATGTTGGCTGTATGTGAGTTATTTAATAGTTTGGAGACAATTTTAATGGGTAGGCATTAATTAATGATTGCAATGTTATTGGGTAATAATGAGTTAATGATTGTGAAGTAGTGTCAGGTGGTGAAATGCAAATAAATGCACTGTTAGGGCGTGGGTTCATTCGTTCCTTTCGTGGTTAAAATTACAAATAGTGTACTTAGCTTCAATTTTGGATTTTATTATCACATTATGATCCAAGTTTGATATATTGAGATATGTAATTAAATATTGAATGTATTATGTTATGAAAACTATTAGAGTTGTAGTGTTTGGAGAAATTATGACTTAATCCTAAACTTGAAACTTGAAAAATATGATAGTTGAAATGTTAATTGGCATCAACATTTACGAACTTGATTATAAACTTTAGTGAATTTTTTTATCAAGGCTAAACACATAGTAATGTGGGTGTTGTTAATTTCGAAATCTTATTGTGAATATGTACTTGAATAGATTGAATTGATTTGGAAGCTCAACTAAAAGGGAAGACTTAAGTCCCGAAGTGATTGTTCGGTTATTTGAGGCAAGTGAATTTCTAAAACCTTGTTAAGTGTATGGAATTCGTGTATTTCCTTGTACTATGTGTTTGGAGGTAATGAGGCTTGGTGATGGGTTGACTTGTCCATATTAACTAATTCTAATGATGAAAAAGGGGCAATAAAAGACAATGTGATTAATTATTGGTGTGTGATGTGTTGAGAATGGTTTGAAAGGCTTGTTGACTCATTGTTGATGTTGTATCACGATTGTGTTGTTGTGAATTGTGCATTATTATGAAAATAGTCATCTCCTTATTATTTGTGTGAACATGTCATTTGTATTGTTCTGAGACATGATTGTGATAAGTGTTATGTGAATTGAGAAGGAGTAAGAAATTAAAGAGGATGTACCATTTCGAGGGATGTGCCGCGCACCGCGATGAATACTATATTTCGAGGGACGTATCGCACGCTGCGATGGATTCTATTATCGAGAAACGTGTCGCGCGTCGCGACAGATGCATAAACATATATGTCCCCCATGAGTCCCAGACTGAGAGACAATGGGTGTGTATCGTTAGGTTAGACATGCATCACTATACTTGACATAACATTTCATTGCATTGCACATTTTTATCATTGATGAACTTGATCTTGTATGTTGCTGATCTTGTGAGTACCTTTCTGTGGAAGTTGTGATTGATGAATATTGAGTTGTTGTTGTTGAGGATATATAATATGTTAGAGTGTTGTTGTTGAGGATATGTAATTTGTTAGAGTGTTGTTGTTGAGTTGTGTGCTATGTAAACTGTGAGCTGTTAGATTGGGCTGGTTTTATGCAGATTGTAGTAGTGGAGGTTATGATGGGGTGTAAGGAGTACTCGTATTCTGTTCCCTTAGCTTGTGTTTAGGAGTTTACTTGTTAGGTACCATGTGGTTTGGTACTCACCACTTGCTTCTACATTTTTTGTAGGTTACTAGCCCGAATCTTCTTGATACTTTCTATTCTCTTCTTGTCCAAGGCTTCCTGTGGAGATTTGTGAGGTAGTTGTTTGTCATCTCAGCAGACCTGCTTTCTCCTTATTTATGATCTTGTTCTATTCTAGAAACAATGTCATGCGAGACTTGTATTTTCTTTTGATTCAGTTGTAATACTTTAGAGGCTTGTACACGTGACAACCAGATTTTGAAAATTTAGTTATGTTGACATATTATCCGCATTAATAATGGAGTATAAAACTTCTATTTTTATTTTATTTCCGCATTTTATGACAATGGTTGGGTTTTAGGCAGACTTGTCTTGGTGGGATAAGACGAGTGTCATCACATCCAGTTTTGGGTCGTGACACTTTATGACATTATATTTAAAATATTAATTCTTTTGTCGAACAGCATTTCATGATGTTCATAGAAATTTGTACTTTTAGTTTTTATGATAAATTTAATTAAATATACCAAATTGAAAAATATAAATCAATTTTTTTTACAATATTAGTTTATATTTTCAAAAGACAATATATATATATATTTTTTCAATTTAATATCATTTATAAAGACCCTTATTTGTCTAATATAATTTTTTAATTTTAGATAATTAACTTTTATTTTAAAAATTCAATATAACTTTATGATTATACTTGTGCAACCAAACAGTACACTTGTAATTACACTATAATTACGTTGTGGCAAACAAAAAAAAAAGCGTAATTACTAGACTAATATTACTACCCTAGTAATTACACAAATTTCAATTACCTGTTGGCTTTCCAAATAGACCCCAAGTGTTGGGACAATTTTGATATGGAAAATTTGAAATTGAATTCCAAAAGTTATGAAATAATTTTCGTGAATATATGAAGAAATTTTTTTCCATTGATGGAGCTTTATGGAAACATAGCAAAGTTACTCCAATGTTATGAAAGTTAATGATTTTCTTTACTTGTAGTTCATTTTTTTGGGTGTATATAATTGATTTGAGTGATAAAGATTAGTATTTTAAAAGGTGTGAGCATAAGATGAGATATTTTATTTGATTCTCTATTGTCCCTATTTACTTGTTCATTTTTTATTTGGCACACCTATTAAGAAAATAATAATTGACATAGCGAGTTTATCATTTTACCTCTATTAATTGATAGAATTCTAAAATCAATTTACTCATTAAAGAGGTTTTACCTTTTTCAAAAACATTAACTCTCTAAATAAATTGAGGATATAATAGATAAAAAAAATATTATTTTTTCTTGATTTGTCAAAAATGACTAGTAAAAAGGGACAAGTAAAAATTTAAAATTGGACAAGTAAAAAGGAACATAGGGAGTACAAGATAAAACGTAAGCCTCGAGGTTACCAAATGTTGGCTCATTCGTGTATATTATTACTCCAAACGACCTTAATTATCTATGAAAACTTATACGTATACCCTCTGTTAGACCTTCAACTAGATGGTTTAAGTGGTTCGGGCTTGTGTAACAACTCAACTAGCTAGTGATATTGTTTGCTTTGGGCTTAGGACTGCACGACTTTAAAATGCGACACTAGTTGGTAAGACATGCTTACTTAGCTTATATACTCAACATCTCTTATGTGTTTTGCCAATTTCAGACTTCTAATCTTAAGTTAGGGCGTCACATATACCCCTTCTTCTAAGGACTCAACGTCATCACTGAGGTTTGCCCCACTGTATTGAATTTGCCTATATTCAGTACTGAGGTTTGCCCCGCCTTACCGAGATTTGCCTAAACTCAGTTGAAGTATGGTCCACATCGACAAGGTTGACATAAGAGTGACTCTTATACCATTTGTAATGACTCAATCTGCTAGTGATATTTTCCGCTTTGGGCCTAGGCCCGCATGGCTTAAAACGCGTCACTAGTTAATAAAGTCTGCTTACTTATAATCCAACATCTCTCATGTGTTTTGCCGATGTAGGAATTCTAATCTTAAGTTGGGTGTCACAACTTGGCTAAGGATTTACATGATGAACCTAGCCAAGGCCCAATGACTTCGGTCAAGATTAAGTTCAAGTGAGGAAAACCTTGACATGGGTGTGATAAGGCATGCAAGGTAAGACGTGACTAAGGCATGCAAGACAAAGTGTAACTAAGACATAACAATGGCTGGGCAAATCTAAGACAAAATAAGGTTGTGATTGTATCTTTAAGACAACATTAACATGAGAAGTACCATAACTTACAATACTTTAATTTTTGAATAATTTTTTAGCATAATTTTCTAAATTTTAAATAATTGAGCTGATCTATTCTAATTTAACATTCATAATTAGTCAACTTAATCCTCAACGAATGGAATGTATCACATAATTAAACCACAAAAAATTCTACAAATTTACATATCTCTAACCATGTCATCGGTAATGACATGAAAAAAGATTCTTTTTCTTTACTACTTACGTCCACTTTTAATTGTCATGATTTCCTTTTTTTTAGAGTCAAATTATAAGAACTTTGACTAACATTTTATAATGTATTTTTTCATCATATTGATATGCAAAAAATTGCAATTTATAGTGTTTTTCGTATAGTTTTTAAATATCTAAATTTTTTTGTTTAAAATATCGAATTAATATAATTTAATTTAACTTTAAAAATTAGTCAAGACTTTCGAAAAGCGCAATATGACAATTAAAAGTGGACGGAGGTAGTACAACACAAACTTGAAGAAGGCCGGGGAGAAAAGTTAAAATAAATAAATAAAAGATAACCAAAATAGTCTATTTAGTAGCTAGTGATGATATGGATAATTATCTTGAAAATAGCTTCTCTATTTCCATGAAGTAGTGATAAAGTTTGCCTACATTGTATTCTCTTCAAACCCTACATGTGAGATTTCACTGGATATGTTATTATTGTTGTTGATGATATGGAGAAATTGCTTGAGTTCTACTTTTTCTCTTCTGCAAAAATCTTTGTAGAGATTTTTTCATTGAAACCTCAGTTTGAGATTGTAATAATGGTGATGGAGGCTCTGAAAGTGACGATAGTATTTTTGTGTTCCCCTTCATTTCCCTATTTGCAAGATGTATTATTGCTTTAGCCTGTATTATCGAAAAACAGAAATAAATAAATTTAGAAATATAACAAAACTACTCATTAGTTGCATAGAAAAAAATTGGAGGAGCCATATTTACCTATCTACTATCAGAAAAAACTTCATATATCTTGGTTGTACATTTCGGTCCAAATATATTCCTCATGTAATACTTTGGGCTAAATATGTCTCTTATACATTAGTATCTAGGTCCCATTCTTAAGATAGATACATGGAGGGTTAGAATTAATTCGAAGGATCCAAATCATTTTTATCCCAGCCAACACCCAAAATAATTTATAATTCGATCTAAGAGTCTGTTTGGCATTATTGCTAAAAATTGTTTATTTTTAGAAGCACTTTTTTTAATTTTAAAAATAAATAAATTTGTATTTGAATAATTCATTTGAAAAGTGCTTTTGATAGGCAAATTGTGTTTGACTAATCTTTTTTTTAAAAATGATTTTGAGAGTCAAATAACGAAAAGGGGTAAGTATCATTGTGTTTTTAATATTAAGATTATTTTATAGAGAGAGACTATTGTAAATATCTATTACAAAAAAATTAATTCAAATTTTATTTTAATTAAATTAAAATGTACATATTTAAATTTTCAATCAATATTTTACATAAATAAATAAATAAATAAAATATTAATATAATATTAACATGATGATTTAAATATAATTAAAAATATCAAGCAAAATAAATTTAAAATCATTCCACAATTAAACAACCATATACGAAAAATTCACCACAAAAATAACTAAAGTCCTTCATATTTTTAATCCTACAAAAGTATTGTTGTTACCTTTATTTCTACTTCTGTAAAATTAAACGTAAAATAATATATAAAATATAATGTATAGATAATAATATATAAACATAAAACAAAATAAAAAGTTTATTATTTAAAAAGAAAAAATTAAAATAAAATTCTTGAACGGAACTTAACCAACAACAATGCTCTAAATGAAATTCAAATAACAACAATTAAGTAATGTCAAAATTTTATATCCTCAAACCAATAGAATTTCAGGCACCACATAAATTCAGCTTTCAAAAATTTTCAGAATCAAACATACAAAGTCAACTATTTTTTTAAATTTTGCAATTTTTTTCTTTTTGATGTTTTGAATTTTCTATTGGCGAAAAAAATGATAACAATAATTATAAAAACGAGTTTTCATTTACTGCGTGCAGCTAATAAGTTGGCATTTTTTTTTTTACAAACAATTCATTTACTTTTGTTTGACTTATAAATAGATTTGGGCAAGAAATTATTTTACTGGGTTGTTTTGGGTGTTGACAGAATAAAAATGATTTGGGATTTTAAAATTAATTCTAACCTTTCGTGTGTTTATTCTAAGACTGGGACTCAGATATTAACAGATAAAGAATATATTTGGTTTAAAGTATAATGAAAAAGACATATTTGAGTTAAAAATATGGAAAAAGTTCAAAAATGCTCTTAACGTATTAAAAATGGTTCAGAAATGCCCTCATTTCATTTATTGGCTCAAAAATGCCCTTAACGTATAGAAATGGTTCAAAAATATCCTCCTTCCACCTATTGGATAAAAAATGCCCTTAATCTATTAGAAATAGTTCAAATTTTCCTTCCTTTTACCTAAAAATCTGAATATCAACTAATAAATACTATTTAATATGTCCTTATTTTGTAAGATCTTAATATATTTTAATATATTTTGTGCAATCTTAATATAACTAGACGATATGAGGAAAATTCAAGTAAGTTCAACTAACTAGACCATATGAGGGAAGTTCAAGTAAAACTTCAACTATAACTACACCAAAAATTCATTTTATGATTTTTTTTAGTATTTTAAATTGTTATTATTATGATTTACTAGTTTCTAAATATGTAAAATTTACTTCAAATTAAAAATTATATGTCCGAAATCATACTAAACAGTAGTTGATTTCATACTCGTACACTAAATCAACCCAAAAAAATTAAAACAGAGCAAAACGATACTATGATTTCTACCGAATAAAACCACACATTCAAATTAATAATAGAGTGAGGAAATTAAAGGTGCAAAATATGTATACCTGAACCTCAGTAGCATCAGAAACCACAACTTTTCCATCATAGAATATTGTTAGCTTCTGTTGTTCCTTCTCTTCATCTATGCTTTCTTTATTTCCCCTATAATAAAAATTAAAGGAGAAACAATATTTATCGACTGATCTATCGATTAGAGATTGTCATTTTAAAGCCTATATTAAAAATGAATTTAGACCATTAATTTTATTGAATTGTCCTTAATCTACACTATATAATATATTTGGCTTGTATATTTTCAAAAAAATGAGTACTTACATGGAGTCGAAGTATGGGGCAGGAGGAACAAGTCTGAGCTCCAAATTACACTTTCTTCTCATCTTAATAATTCTTCAAACTAATGTACAAAGTAAATTAAGCTAAGAATTAATCTGTACTGAACTTTGGATTAAGAAGAAAATGGACTTTAGATATATATTAGTAAGTCGTAGTATCATTTAAATGATAATTGTGGAGTTTAATATAGTATGAAGTTTATTAAACTAGACATTTTAAACACGACTCTCACACTTTAATTTAAAAATGGAATTAAAAAGATGTTAAACAACTTGTAGAGAAAATAGGGCCTACCTAAATATTCAAACCACTACTAATTACATGTGATAAATGAGGTTTTATCCTATTTTATTTCCCATGACCGTGATTTGTACACTGCCACCTTTATTCTGGCTAATTTTTGCAAATTTGTTATAGCGTTCCATCATTCATGTGTTTGAGTCGGCTTACGCTACAACAAATAAATGATTTCGACTATATTATATTATATTTCATGATAATAATAAATATAAATATTCATAATCAACACTTTATATAAATATTACTAAAACACTTTAGTGACTCTAGATGGAATAATATTAATTAACTCAATTACCGTTAAAAGAAAAATTTACTGCCACTGATGTCCCTTTTGTTGCAGGATTACTAGATTTTCTTACTTTTTATTTTTTAGTTTGTTGGTTAGTACTTCTTTCATTTTAATTTATATGATGCAAACTACTATGACTATTTAGAAAAAAATATTTATGATCTAAAATAAGTCGTAGAAACTTTCGTGACCATAAATTATTTTTTAAAAAAAGTAAAATGAAAAGTTTGATGTTAAATTGGCCTATGAGAGTACTTATTTATATTTGTTAAAGTTCTTTATAGGAAGGACAAGGTTGGCACGTAACCAACCCACCTAATTTCGATATTTGAAAAATCGTTCATCTTTTTAAAGTTCTTTAGAATGGACACAACCACTTTTATACTTTATTGGAAATTATTAGCTCATAGAAATTATTTAGGTATATAAAATTCATTAACAATCATTATACGTACTTCCTAAGGAAGCCTTAAGCTATTTTAATTCATATTCGAGGTACGATATCTGTATTGAAGTTTGATTAATTTGAATTCGTACCACGTAGGCCTCCATTCGACGAAAGCGCTAATAGAATTTTTTCATACTCAAAGCTTATAACAAAATCCTACAATTCAGGAAAAAATAACTTCCTCCATTGCACCGCATTCTAATTTAACAGTATAAAAGGATATTAAATCGGCAGATTTTTTCCAAACTATAGAGAACAGGAAAACGTGGAAAAAAGAATCAAATTAATAATTATATCTTTGCATTTCGTCAAGCCTTAATAATTATATATTCATTTGAGGTAGTTGGTTTGAAATAATTAGAAAAGAAGAACGAAAAGATATGATGAAAATCATATCATAATTAAAATTATTATGTTTGTCCCAACTTATGTGTCCTTACTCCCTACCATTTAAAGCAATTAATATTAAAGAATGTCACTTTTTTTTATTTTTAAAAAAACTATTATAAAGAGATTAACTTTAATGTTCATACTTTAATATTAATGAAATAGTGTGTAAGTACCAAATATTTTTTACTGAGTTTAGATTATAACTTCTAAAAATAAATTTCTGTTTAAATTTCGTATATGATTATAACTTTTAATGAAATAGTGTGTAATTACTAATACTTAATATGTTTAGAACTGAATGAATAAATCGAAAAAGGTTAATTATAACCTATATAATTTGAGTTACAGATTTTTATTACTGATTGCGAGTTAATTTGCTAAAGTTCGGAAGTGCTTTCCAGTTAAATGTTAGTTTAGTGGATAAATTAAAGGTGTAACTTGTAAGTGGTCTAGATAAATTGATCCATCATTGTTTTAAAAAAAAAAGTCAAAATATATCTTTTGCAACCCAAAATATCTACGTTTATTTTTAGAAATTAGGTATGAAATAACTCTGTTTGGAAATGAACTCTGTCGAACTCCATAAAAAAAAGAAAAAGAAAAGCATTGGAATGACAACTATGGATAGTTGTGATCACTTGCTTCATGTCCTTGACGTTCCTATTCAATTTGTGGGGAAGACCATTGTTCATATTCAATTTTGGTCTGATATTTTCAAAGTTAATATTTTTGAGTATTTTATTCGTTAAATAGTTCGAAATTACATGTTATGTAAATTTAATTTGAATGATCGATAATTGTCCTTATTTTTTAAAAGATTAGGATTTTTATCAATTAATTTGTTATATTCGTTACATTTGTTCAAGAAATAGATTGAAATACAAATAAATAATTGTATACGCAGATATTTAATTTGCATATGATTTTGGGCACATGATTTTGATAACTAACGATTTTGTAGAGAAAATGATTTTAAATTGCCTATATAAGCCTTTACTTGATCCCAAAGAAAGAGGATGGTGGATAATTTTTTTAGATTTTGGGGGATAAAATTTTCAGATTTTTTCGCAATGAATAATATCTTTCAGGTCGTGGAAACTTACCTGCGCAAAGCGGCTGCCGGCGTGAGAACACCACGTCCAGGTAACAATGCTTTAATTAATGCAATTGTGAATATGCATAGAAGCTATAATTTAGTTATTTATTATTCATATTATTATAATTACAATATTGATGGTGATTGGTGAACCAGAAAGAAGAGAAATTGAATTGTAAAATAAGAAGGGGACTTGTATAATGTGATAACATTTTTTTTAACTTGGGGAAAGAAATATTTGTGTCTATTATGGGTATCACTGGACAATGATTGTGGATAATCATTGGACAGTGATTAGGATCGTGTGATGTAATTTTGAATTAGGTTTGACATTTGTTAATTTTGTTTTCTCATAGTTTTACAGATATACTAACTTGAACGTGAGTTTCTATTTATTATTATTGTCATTTTTAAACTTCTTATAATTTTCATATTATGATTCAAGTTTTGATATATCGAGATATGTAATTAAGTAGTGGGTGTATTGTAGTATATGAAGATCATTCAATTTATGTTATTTGGAGATATTGAGACTAAACCCTAGGCTTGAAACTTGGAAAATATGAGAGTTGACATATTAATTGATCTCAAAATTAGAAACTTGATTGTATATTTGAGTGAGTTTTTGAGTCTAGACTAGACATAGCAATGTGGGTGTTGTTAGTCTTGAAATCTTATTGTGGTCATTTATTTAAATAGATTGTATTGATTTGGAAGTCCAGCAAAAAGGAAAGATTAAAGTCCCAGAGTGATTGTTCGATTATTTGAGGCAGGTCGATTTCTAAATTCTTGTTAAGTGCATAGAATCGTGTATTTCCTTGTGGTATGTGCTGGGGAGTAATGGGAATTGGTGACGGGTTGACTTGTCCATATCGAATAATTCTAATGATGAAAAAGAGGTAATAAAAGGCAATGTGATTAATTATTGGTTTGTGACATGTTGTGAATGGTTTGAAAGGCTTATTAATTCATTGTTGATGTTGTATCACGATTGTGTTGTTGTGAATTGTGCATTGTTGTGAAAATGGTCATCTCCTTGTTCTTGATATGAAGTCCTTAATTTATATTTAATCTTTTGATCAATTGAGTGTGTGGACTATTTCTTCTTGTGAGGATACTTGTTTCATGATAGATAGGTGATTTTGTTAGCTTTCTTTGATGATAGTAGGTGAGCAAGCTTAAATTTGATGAGTTCAAAGTCCTTCCTTGAAGTTAGAGGTTTGTTGTTTATTTGGATGTCTTGCAGAAGGATTTTGAATTGTACTTGATGTTTTGAAATTGGTATATGGCCTAATTGTTTGTATTAACAAAGTGATGACATTTTTATTTTGAATTATTTGAGATGAGCTTTAATGTTTGCTCGAGGACGAGCAAAAGTTTAAGTGTGGGTGTTGATGTGAGGCCGAAAATATATTTTCTTATCATTATTTGCCTCACATTTATTATTTATATTTGTCCTTTTTGAGCATTAATTTTATGAATTGTGCTTTATAGTGTATTTTATTTGTAGGAGTAAATTTGGGTAAAATTAAATAATCTTGGAGCTAAAACAAATTAAATATAGAAGGTTGAAGAAGGAAATTAATCAGACAGCTTAATGGATTAAATTGAATAATATATTAATATTTATATATATTGAAAAGATCGGCAGAATTCAAATTAAATTGCAAGCCTGCTGCCACGTGGCAGATTCTGAAGGGAGCAAAAAGTTTGAGGCGGCGAACCACTGTTCCGAAGTTGAATTTCGTTTGGTTTCGAATTCCTAATTTGTTTGGACTCAATTATTTTATTTAAGGTTTTTTATATCTATAAATAGTTCATAGAAATTATTATTGGAGGAAATTAGAAGATCAATTAGGAGGTACTTTGCAAGAAAAAGTTGTCAATACTTTTTAGGGTTCTTTTTTTTTTTCTAGAGATTTGTGGCTTAAACGCCCTTGTTCTGGGGCTGTAGCTACGAATCGAATGTTGAATATTTAAGGTTTATGAATTATTTCTTGGTTTTCATTATAAGTTACTTCTATATTCTTGTTTTAGTATTTTATGCTTGCGCACCATAAGATAAATCTATTGTTTAATCCTAAAATCGAGAGAGGAGGGGTTAGATAGACCAGAGAATATAGAGAGCTCGATCGACCTAGCTATTTGATTGAGGTGATTAGTGTTCAGGAGTGACGCCCGAACGAACAACTTTCTTGGTTACGAAATAGGACGAAATATAAATGCTCGCCAGTTAGTCTATTTATCCCCGCTCACGATGTAGTTAGATAGCTAAGTGGAGTAGGCGACGAGAGGTGTGTAGCCCGACTCATACAAATAACCTTATAAACCAGTAACTTGACTGCTAAAATTAGTTCTAAGTCAAGAATATGATACATGAGATTCATTGCATGTGCAGCCCTGGAATTTTCCCAATCATTGTAAGTAATCTAATTATTAATTCATGCGTTCTTTTCTTTGTAAATAAAAAATCAAACTCTTTTAGCACTCTTAAATAAATAATTAAACTAGTATAATTTAGTAATAGTTAATTGATAAGTTCTTTGGATTCGATAATCTGATTCTTTTAAGAGCCACTATATTACTTGCGC